CGGCTTCATTGTTAAAACGTGACAAACTGGCATCGAAGTCCAAGCCCCGCCCTTTTCCCGTCGCCCGCGCACCGATCGCTCTTTCCGAAAAGGAATAGTTTTGATAAAATAGTTACTTCAAAACCAATTTAAAATGATTATGAAATTACTGTTTTATAAAATTAGTAGTTATTTGCAAGAAAAATTACAAAATTAATTGCTCTGCAATATTGCTTATTTGGCCTTTTTAGAGAGGCAGTGTTTCTCTCGTGAAAAAACAATTGAATAAAACGTGCTGTGTTTGTCTTCAAATCGAAAGAGGACAATTAAAATATCTGTAAGTTACTAAGTTACCTATCTATACAGGCCGTTGTGATCAACCGACTAGTACACGTAAACAAAATACTTAAGTACTATAACAAAAAAAAGGTAGGTTACTTACTTTTCTCCGGCACTAGCAAACACAGATATAAATTTTTCTCACAACTTTTTTTCCAAATTCCGCCTTTTTTTCGAAATTCCGGAAACAAATGAATGCGTTTGCCTTTGGCATCAAGTATTTATAGTGGTGATCAAGTTCATGTCTGAACAAGCATTAAGCATTGTCGGGCGGATAGCGCTTTGCAAGTCTGTACACGAAATTGTACGTAATATCGAATACGCAAGTTTGGACAAGTAACAGTCGCTTGCCTTATTAAAATATTATCTGCTTAGATAGGTACTTAAAACAATGTAGGTAGGCCCTTATAAAAACTATGCTTACATTTTTGCTCTTTACTATCAAAAGCAGATAAATTTTCGTGGACCCCCATTAACATCTTATGGACCCCCATTTTTTGTTCACGCCTACGTAGACCCCCAGCAAGTCTCCCGTGGACCCCTGGGGGTCCACCTGGACCACTTTGGGAATCACTGGTTTAGAATTTACTGGACGTTTGATAAATATATATTATTATGGACACTATAGGAAGTTACTTGTCTTAGTAAAAGCCTTGGTAAATGCTCTTGGAATTATAAACTACAAAGGCTTGGGTCAAAAAATATGGACTATTTTTCTATGTTTTGCAGCGTTACACAAATGGGAATAAATTTAAACTATAATACGTGAGGATAAATGAAAAATATAATATGTGTTTCAAGATTTTATATAGAAAAAAAAACTAAATACCTTTTTGGGGGTTCGTAAGTAAAACTTACACTTAGCTTAGTTTTCTTTACTCTTTCTCTTTACATAGGGCATTGTCTTTGTGGTAAAGACGTCATTCCTTTTTTTTTTGCATAGTTCTTCAATAAAATATTGGATATTCTGAACAAGATGGATTTAATAATAAATTTTGACGTATGTGATGGGCAATTGTGACCTAAAAAATTACTTACATCCAGGCCATTTATATTTTCAAATGTCAATGTTGTCAATATCTTTCTGTGATCTTTTTGATGTAAAAGGCTTGATTCTTCTTCCAATATTTTACTTATAGTGAGGTAAGTGTAAGCAGTAGCCATAACTACATCCTCACTAGGGTAACAGAGGCTTTGGCCTTTGGCCTTTTTGAGGCATATTTAATGCACTTCTTACCCGAGAACTACTAGTAGGAGTGAAATTATCTCTTTTAATAGCTGTGAACCATTTTTTACGAAGCTCGTTATTTTTGGGGAATATAAAAGCAGAAACCTTGGAACCCCCTCTATAATTCCCGTGACAATATGGAACAGAGCATGTAAAAGGCATGCTATAATAAAATGTTAATACCTACCCTTTAATACCTATCTTTTGATTATTGTAAGTAACCATTATAAAGTACTATGCAGACTGGCGGCGAAGGCTTTTTACTCATTTAGGTGTAATATCTTGATAAATATTTCTAGTTCTTACCTTAAAATAATTAATAATAGAGGAGTACGACAAGCACAAAAGTTTGAAGTTCTCTATGTGGAATGTCTGGTTTGGATTTTTATTACACTGTTATTTTATCACAATTTTCTGATCACACCATGCACTGAACACTAAGAACTAAACAAACGTGTTGCAAAAGCACAACAAACTAGAGATAATTAATTATTTCTGGTATGCAATCGGAACGAGAAACCACTACCGGCTTTTCAGGTTAAAGGTAAAGAATTTAATAATGCGCTGCCTTCGCCGCCATAGTTGCCTTGCCCATATCATGTTGATTAGCCTTGAGTTGAGGTGGTGCTGGTCAAATCAAATCGCAATGTTGCCAGTTGTTGGCTGGCGCACGAGCACGGTTCTGCAATGTGATCGGGCGTATTTTTCATACGTCATCAATTGGCACTTTAAAATTATTTCAGATTAAAGCAATTTTGAGGGCCTATAAAAAAATTATTCAATGTCATGGAACTATTTTTTTTGGATAAATATACCGAAAATAGTCTTCTATTTCAGATTTTGTCCTTGAATTGGGTATTTTATTTTTTGTGAAAGAGCCCATTTCTTATTAATTCAATTTATTGAATTACTAATATCGCTATTAAAAAATAGGGGTTGATGGTAAAAGGGTGCAAAAAATCATTTTTTTTTATTTGAATCAGATTTTTTAATTTTAATCGTTTTTTTTTAATCAATTTCCTATCCTAAATGGCTAAATCTTTGTAACTCTGCACGATATTTACAATATTAACATTTCTACGTCTGGTGTCGTTTTTCCACATCGGTCATCGATATATTTTATTCTGTAAACTTTGCCGATATCTCTTTCCGCCAAAAAATCGGCCGCTTAGATCAAAGGATTTTTTTTGGAAATAGTCATGACTGTCTTAAGTCGGGAATAAAATTAGTACCATCTAATGTTCAAAGTGCAAAGTACTTATTGCAGAACAAAATGTCGGTAGAAATTTAGAATGAACTAGAAGATAAATTATGAAAGGCGGAAGTTAGCTTGATCAACATTCAACTGTTTCAAAAAATGTATAAAACAGCCTTGACTCTTGACTCCAGCTTATCTTTTGGCATTGATTAGTCCTCGGGAATAAAAATATAACCTGACATCAGAAGAAGCTAGTCCTGCACTAGAGTTTGCGAATGAAATGTATTCAAATACCGAATTTCTGGCACTTCACAATTTAAAAATAAATCTCTGCCATTTAGAAGTATACTGGATTCACACGAAATAACTTTAAAAATCGGTCCAACATTTTAATAGATGAATAGATATTAAGGGTATGTGTTATGTTATATCTTTTCCAATAATTATTTTTCGATCTATTAAAGTACTTAAACGTTACAACTTACAACAGCAAGTAGTGTAACTTTGTACTTATTTGATGAATAGATATAGGGTATATTATATTCCTATATATATATAGGAATACTTTTATAATTTTTACAGTTATGTTTCGATTTATCATAAGTTCTGAAACACGTTGATTTTTTTTATTCAAATCCATGATTAAAATTTAAAAAAATCCGTTGATTTAAATCATTGCACTCTGATTTAACTCTTAAGATTTTTGGGGAACAGGGGATTCTTGTATTTGTATTTACCAAGACTGTGTTGTATATACCCAGGTGGGACCAACTGGGGATTTTATTTTTTCTCAATTGATATTCTACAGGGTGGTCCGAACTACATTCAGGAAACTTGCTGCTTATAAAAATAAGTAAAATAAGTAATAAATGTATGTCTTAAAATGTTTAGTTTCGGAGATACAGGGCGACGAAGTTACATTTTTATTTGGATTTTTTTCCAAATAATTTCTGAAATTACGTCAATATTTGGATGAAAATTGGTGTCTGGGAGTTTTTTCACATAAGAAACTTGATTTTGATGTCAGAATGGCTCCTATTTGTAGGGGCGCTACCTACATCTGTTTTATATGTTTTGAAAAGTAATAACTTTTCGTCCGTACCTGTATAAAACGACTGAGTGAAAAAATATACATTTCCGTGACTTTTTACGTAAAAAATGTCTCTTGGTCAAAATCGCTACGATCAACCGTTCTCAAGATATTTAGAATGGAAATAGTTAACACATGTCATTATTGACAAAAAACACTGTTGAGTAGATAGTTACTTGACTGAAATGCTAAATTTGGGAAATTTTAATTTTTTTAAATTAATCATAAATTTTTCTGCAAAAAACGATTATAAAACAGTTTCTGTTGAACTTTTGATAAAAAATCATTTCAAATTTATGATTTAAGTCTAATAACTATTTAGTCAAAATGTTTAATTTATGTCAGTGATGGGCAGGTTTTTGCTAATTTCGATTCGAAATATCTCGAGAACCATTATTCGTAGCGATTGTTACCAAGAGATCTTTTTTACGTAAAAAACGTCGTAAATGTATATTGTTTTACACAGTTTTATACAGGTACGGACGAAAAGTTATTACTTTTCAAACCAGTTAAAAATACCGTATGATCGAATAAAAACGGCGTCAGCGATGGCTATGAAATGAAGATCGCTGTCATTTTATATGTAAATTTATATGGGAAATGTCATCGATCGTCATTTCCCAGCCAACTGGACGCCATTTTTATTCGATCATACGGTATGTAGGTGGCGGTCTCTACAAGTAGGAGTTATAACAGGGGCGGATACAGGAATTTATTTTAGGGGGGGGGCCAAAATAAAAAGTAATGTAGAATATGCTTTTTAGGGCGCCATTTTTAACAAAAAAGCCTAATATTTAACAAAATTTAAAGATTTTAGGGGGTGGCGGGCCCCATGGCCCCCCCCTCTGTATCCGCCACGGAGTTATATTGACAGTCAAAATCAAATTTTCCATGTCAAAAAACTTCCAGACACCAATTTTCATCAAAATGTTGACGTTACTTTATAAATTATTTGAAAAAAATCGAATTAAAAATGAAACTTCTACACCCTGTATCTCCGAAACTAAGCATTTTAGGACATACATTTATACGAAGTTTCTTACTCATTTTTATCTGCAGAATATGCTGCCGAAGTTTCCGGAATACAGTTCGGACCACCCTGTATATGGGAATAAGAATAAAAATAATGTTACGAGAGTATTATTTCTATTTCCTTTATTTTCCAGGTGGAAACGCTCCCAGCCACCCACATCCGCGGCAAGTGCTCCGTCACCCTCTTCAACGAAACCGAGGCCCTCTCCTCGTACCTCAACAAGGACGACATGTTCTTCTACTGCCTGGTGTACGACCCCACCCAAAAAACTCTCCTGGCCGACAAGGGCGAGATCCGCGTCGGCAGCCGCTACCAGTGCGACATCCAATCCCTGCTTCGCGACGGCGAGCCCGATCCCCGCGACCTCACCGAGACCGAATCCCTAGTGTGGACGCCGCACCACCAGCTCAGCGACCGCCAAATAGACCAGTTCCTCGTGGTGTCGCGATCGGTGGGAACGTTCGCGCGCGCCCTGGACTGCAGCAGCAGCGTGAAGCAGCCCTCGCTGCACATGAGCGCCGCGGCGGCCAGCAGGGACATCACGCTGTTCCACGCGATGGACACGCTGCACCGGCACGAGTACGACCTCTCTGGGGCGCTGGGCTCGCTGGTGCCGTCGAGCGGACCGGTGCTGTGCCGCGACGAGATGGAGGAGTGGAGCGCCTCGGAGGCGAATCTGTTCGAGGAGGCGCTGGACAAGTACGGCAAGGACTTTAACGATATCCGGCAGGATTTCTTGCCGTGGAAGACGCTGAAGAATATTATTGAATATTATTATATGTGGAAGACGACTGATAGGTAATGATGATGCGAGTGAGTTGGCATGGTGATGATCTAAAGTACCAGACGACACGTTGTTCTGGAAAAGACTTTATATTGGGGTTATTTTGTAGTTTCATTTTTATCTTAACCTAATATATTGTTAAGGATTTTGTGGGTCCTTTATTCAAACACACGATAAAAGTAAAACAATTTTCTAGCACCTTCGCCAATTTATCACAATTTTTATTCCGGTACATTTTAGAATTCTTTTTATGTCCAGAAAGTTCTTCACTATATCCAGAATGTTCCACCCATGTCTAAGAGATGACGTTCCAAAAAGTGTCCTGTATTACCGATGGAGTCTTCATTGCCCTTGTGACTTTCGGACCCCTATACTGGAAATGAGCAAAACTGTGATTCTCCAATCGCAATTGAAACTGCAATTGCGATTTTTAAATCGCAGCGACTGTAACCTGCGATTGCGATTTGAATACTTACCAAACCAAATTCTTCGTAAAAAAGTCCTTTTTCTAAATATGCCAATGAGCCACCCTCGTTTCATTTGAAAAAATTGAGATATGATTAAAAATACGATTTGGGCATCTTTTAACTGGCCAGGTGAAGACGCGAAAAACAGTAGACGATTGAATCTATTTTTCCAAGGCATCTTGATTAAAAATTGGTGTTTTTAACACAGCCATGACATTCTAGATTGAAATTTAAAATACGATTTTTTAAGCAAAAATGTCAAAAGTTGTTATATGATATGCCATTCTATTCAGAGTGTAATTTTCTACTGAATAAAGCAAAAAAATACCGAAGATGCTATTTCAAAATCAAAAGTTGTAGTCATCTCCGGTAAAACAAGAAGTGGCCAAAAACAATTGAAAACGTCAATCAACCTTAATTTATGTCGTATACTAACATACCAAATCTCTTTTTTTATCTGAAAAATAAAAAAGTTATAGGGTGTGAACCACTCTTGAAAAACACCCGGTATATTATGATCGTGGCCTTAGAAAATAATACCTTCTTAGAAATAAATAAAATCAGAGAGAAAATTTAATCACAGTTTACTATAAAATGCTTCAATAGACCACAAAATTACATTCGCACCAATATCGCAAATCGCAACTCCTAAAAATTCAAACTCGCAGATATAAATCACGGTCCCAGTTTACAAAATCACAATTGCAGCAAAATCGCAACAAAGTCGCAATTCGCAGCTATAGTAATACTGGTTGCCTAAATTGAAACTTGCAAATAGAAAAAATCGCAATCGCAGTTTCCTATAAGAGCCAATCGCAGGCTGCAATTGCGATTTAATCAAAGTTTGCGATTTTTTGCTCATCTCTACCCTACACCTAGGTTAACTTGACTTTGCTACATTCCTACATCATATATACTTACGTGGATAAGTAAATCACTATGGAAACTGTGGCAAACATATCAACGACTTCCATTTATCTCCTTTTTTTGTTGCACACGCGGTGCTTCTACTCTCTCCTTGTCGAGGACCTATCGTCCACGCGCCAAATTTGAACATTAATTTTAAAAATTTAATTTGTAAGATGCATATATTTGAACAATAAATTGAATGTTTACTGTTACAAAAGTTAAATTATATAAAAAATACATTTAGCCACTCTGTACGAATATAAAAATTCTTAGGAAATCTAACCAGAAAGTATGCATGTGATTTAATATAATTAAAAGAACAACTGAATACTTTACTTGCCTATGAAAAGATAATTCGGGGATCTTTATATTAGAACTTCCACACACCAAACACTTACTAGTCATTTTTACGAGTATTTAGAAACTCCAACGAAAAAAAAAGCAGAAATATAATTGCACAAATTTAAAATTAATTTCTCACTGAACACACTTGCATCCTTGGCTATAGTATAAAGGTTGTTGATAAAAGAGTAATTAACACCAATTTTTATAATAAAACACGCAAAAAAACCGTTGTTACACAATGGAAATCATATCGAAATAAGATTATGACAATATGATGACAATGAAAAGTTGGTTTCCATACCAATGTATAATTTGTATTTTCTAAACCGTCTAAAATTATGATTATTTTGGAAATACGTGCAACTTTTAATGCGCATGCGCAAAGTAAGGTCCTCAGAAAATCAGCCTCTTGAACGTTTCATAAGTGCAATAAAGAAGGTTTGAAAATGGCATGTCGTGATGTTGAAGATATATTTTTTAAAGCTGCGTTCCTTTGTCCAGTTTGCTCCATAGTCTGTCCGACGGGCCTGGGAAGAATTCGACAGACGACATCCGAAGAATAATAAAGAATACAATTTACCTATGAACTAAAATGACAGACTCAACTGTCAATGTCATGCGCTATAGTCTAGATTTGACCTATCTATGGTGCGTTCTTTTCTGGCTTATTGTTTCTTCCACACAATAGTGGATTGCCATTATTTCCTACTAGTATAGAAAAACATCAATTTTCTTTATGTATTTATTTACTAGTTTGTTTCATCAATTTCACTTATACCTTGTAACAATTTTTTAAACGAAAATGTTATTTTTTTAGGTATGTTCAACAAAAAAGAGTGAAGGCTGTCGAAGCAGAATCGAAACTTAAGCAAGTCTACATTCCTAACTAGTGAGTTCGTATTAACTATTGATCGAAATTTGTAGGCAAACGAATAATCCGATTCTGTTTTAGCAACAAGCCCAATCCTGCGGCACTTAACAATAACAAGGGCGTTTTGAATGGCAGTAGTAACGGTAGTACGGATCCTGCGGTATCTTTAGGTGGCAAGGCGTGTGAATCCTGTAATGGTGAGTATACCAGGTGGCAAATATGTTATACCGTTCTGGCAACTCTTAATTTTGGGTCGGTATTTACATGTGTGGAAGTAAATCGCATAGGGATCTTATTAAGTCGGAGTGAGAGAAATGCGACGGTGTGCTGTTGCGGCGTTGCCACATTTCCCCGGTACGTCTTTCCCTACCAAGTAAAGTAAAATCACGATCGCAAACCGCTTATTTTTAAAATACTTGTTTTCGAAAAGATAACTAGATAAAATCATTAGATATGTTCTGAGCATCTGATATGGAATTAAAGAATATCGTTAGGGTATCCATTTTTTTACAACGAGAAAACGTCAGTAAGCGCGATAATTAAAAAAAAACACAACACACGATAACTCAAGAACCACTTCAGATATTGGAACTTTTTTTATTTTGAAGTTTGGATCTTTTACAAGATGTTTAAATAAGAAAAATTCGATAGGCTTGTTTTTTTTTCATTCAAAAATTTTAAAAACCCCATCCATTTACTTTTTGTGCATAGCAATTTTCAGCAATCATGTAACTTTTTTATTTATAAAGATTTTCACATACTGTTTGCGAAGAAAATATAATAGAAATATTAAGAAAGTTTTTGAAAGAAACTACAATCAATTGTTTCTAATGGATTTCGAGATATCGATTTTTGAATTGAGAGTTCTAATAGCACGACCACTGTCGAACACCAACTCAGTTCCACTTATTTTTACCAAAAGTGCAAGTGTTTCTAACCTGCCCTTAAAAATTTACAAGCTATAGGGAAAATTAAGACCCATTAATAAATAAAGAAATTAAGTATCACGAGACGTAATTAAATCGTGAAGCTGAACGCATAATGTACACACTTTCCTAGAATTTTAAGTACTGATTGGGACGACCGCTCGACCGCGATGAATCTGCTATATCCCTTTCCACGTCTCTTAGCAATGTTCAAAGTTTCTCGGTTTATTTGATACGTTTGGCAACGTTTTTACTGTTCTTTGTTCAGTAGATTATAAACGCATTGTACTATTCTTACATACGGAAATCTCGATCCAAAACTAACCTTTGCCAGCCCTTAGTATGGAACTCCTTGCTTTGAGCTCCATCTCCGGTAACGTAGGTGAAGCAAGCATGAACAAAATAGTTGTTCTGAAGTTACACCACAATTTGATTTATTTCATGAAATATATTTTTTTAAATGTCAGGATCAAAACTCATATTTTCTTTCAAAGTTTTTTAAACTTTGAATGTCAACATCAGGATTGTATGTTAGATGATGCTTTGTATATTTTTACATTACAATATAGAGCTCACAATTTTTTTCTCAATGATACATCATAATATTATGCAATCGTAAAATTTAGAAGTTATTCAATGAACTTACACGCGTACATCAATATAAGTTATATCCTTATACAAAAAATTATAATATTAATGCCAGTCTCAATTTGCACAAGCACGTTTGCCAAAAAGAATAAAAATTCTAATAAATGTCATATGTAGCATGTATCATATTGCTAAGTCAGTTATTGTAGTTAACTTTTAATGCTTACGAATTTAATGTTCAATTCTAATGAGATGTTTTATTATTTGTTTTATATTGTAGCGTTTTTTAAACCACTACCACTGCGAACGGCAGCTTTTCATCGGAGAGCAGTCGTGGATAAGGTATTTCACTAGAGAGAAAATTAATCAGTAATAATTAACAAAAGATATATAGATATTGGGCGCCAGGCATGTCCAGAGAAAAAAAAACACAGTTGTATAATACTTAAAACTAATGACTATAGTTATTCATGACGTTCTTTGCTGATACATGACATTGTAGAGTTCTAGTAAATATACAGTGGTTATATGTCAAAGAAAGTGGTGGTAAGAGTCGTACTAAATATCAATGAAAACAACTACGATAAAATACAGGACATGTAAAGTTTAAGAGAAAATATGAAATGTAGCATTACTTTAATTAATTTAATATATTCCATATGATGCTAAATCGAAGATGTTACAACCTGTAGATTCTAGAATCTATTAAAATAGTGCAATAATAGCTATAAAAGTAATACCATTACAAGACGTAATGCAATGAAACCTAAGATCTAAATTATATTTTAAAGATTATATCGACATGAATGTTCTTAACAATCTAACCACTGAACATAGTCTGTACGATATTACTTAAAATGTACGTTATTGTTTAAGACTGAAAATGTTTTAGATGTTAAATGTAAAACTAGAACTTAAATATACACTTAGCTGTTCTTTTATGTAACCTTGCTTCAAACAGTAGCAGCGTGAGGTGGTCTAGCATCTCTGTACTGTCTGTCGGCGATCCTGTTAGTCAAAACAACCAAAGGGGCCAGATTGAGGACACCATGAATCCTTACAACCGTAGCTACTGACTAGGCTTAGAAATGGGAGTGAAGCAGCATGGGACTCAAGCTACATCCACGCTGTGGCACTTAGATGTAAGAAAAAATCGTTCTTACTGGGGACACTCGTCCACAGGACATCTGTACATAAGATAATGTCTGTACATAAGGCACTACCCGTACCTTGGACACAGCCCGTACCTTGGACACAGTCCGTACCTTGGACACAGTCCGTACCTTGGAAATAGTCCGTACCTTGGACACTCGAAATACTTCCGAGGGCTGAATAAATAATAAACAACATGTCCTTTCTTCCATGTGACATTCTGGAGGACAAAAGAAAAGGGACGCCAACGTGCCAGCAAAACACAAATACAAGTTGGGACATCCGTAACTCTACCCTGTAGCCTCGAAATAGCAGCTGATTCAAATTATACAGCAAGACTTAAATAATCACCATTTCCAAAAGCTGGGATACAACAGAGCGTCAAAACAAAGTGAGGTTAAGCACGGAGACAGTTGACAGAAGCGATGTTGACAGCGCCTCCTCAGAGCAATAACAGGGTTCGACACGAACGATAACAGGGTTGGCGACTAGGGAACGTAAAAATTACGCGTCAAATAAACTATCCGGCCTCAACGAGAGGGAATCCGGTGATGATAGGCCAGACATCATATATTATATATAAAAAAGACATGTAACGAACTAAAAACGTTACAATATAGCATAAAATATGTAGAGAGAAAAAGTTTTGAAATTTACTGTAATATGCCAGAATTTTTTTGGTTAATATGTCCAATAACGATAAAACGATATATCTAGAAAACTATGCATTTTTTTCATAAATATACCCATGAATTTTTACGCTATTATTCATTGACACCAAATATATTAAATGTCGGAACAAGAACTCTTGCTTCTGAAATTTCTATAACAGATACACTAATTTATTTATTTTTCTCTAATATATCATCATCAATATACAGTGTATTTCAAAAAACATGTGCCATCTCTCGTGGGGAGATTCTCACGTAAAAATATGATTTATTTTTCATATCAACTATGGTGTATGTATGTAGAGGTAAGGAGAAATATCTTCATGCATTAAAAAATGGTCATAAAAAGGGAAGACTTAAGATGGCGCTGCTGTAACATAAACCTAAAATTTAAAATATATGCCGAAAATTTTTAGAACAGGAAATGATTTCGGCGGGTGTTTCAAAAAAATACAAATTTTATTTTCATGTTACATGAAATAAATGATCGATTTTTATTCAGCAGAAATAGACTGGGCCTCTAATATATAAAAATAATTGTTTTATATTCTAAAAAATAAAAACAAAGCTTTTTCGGGTAATATTACTTTTATTCTCTTATCTGTGGCTACTTTTCATTTTTTAGATTTATGCGTCATTGGCGCCACTGTGGTCATTTGGTGAACCCTTATTCTTCCCATTTTTGTGACCACTTTTTCAAATAAATTCCTATAAAAGATATTTCTCCTCATCTCTACCCTTCATAATATCAACATAGGGCCGATTCTGCTTTGTTTCGTAGCTACAAGGTTTTAAAGACTTTCAAAAAAAGCATGTGCGCCACTGACTTTTTCTTTTCATATTAAAATTGTATAGGCCGTTTAATGCGAATTAAAAGTTATCTCTTGATATTTTGTCGAATTCGGTCTCCTTGATGAGATAAACGCAATTTTATTCAAGATAATTACAATAAATACTAATAGTACTAATTTTAAAAAGTTTTAACATCCTGTATGTATACCCACGTTTATAGGAACTTTTTTATGTTTTTGATGAGGAATCAAGGAGTACTTATTTAAAATTTTCCTACGTTAATGGTATTAAATTTTTAAAGGTTTCTATTAGTCTTGGATCAAAGCAAATTAATGAAGACCAAATATCAAGACAAATTTTAATCGGCATTAAACTGCTTACACTATTTCGCTAGCAAGAGAAAAAAGTCAGTGGCGTACATACTTTTTTTAGAAAAATATTCCAGTGATAACCCATATGCACGTCCCTGGTGAATATGTCGACACTTTATTAGCTTTAAAATATTTCGCATTAATAGTAACTTTTACAATCAAAATTTAATTCGAAACGCTCAAAGTACTTGGAAGAAAATTATAATAAATCGAAAAAAATATTAAGACTTTAACACCCTGTAGCATTAGAAGTTATAAAAAAATGATGGAATGTTTTTTATAAGAATTTTCTTTTAGAAAAAATATTAAAACAACTAATACTATGCGACGGAGCTGTTCGCCGGTGAGCAATGGGTCGTAAGCTAGTAAAAATTAAATTGTGATAATTACGTCTTTATAATATACTGGGCGCCACTCAGTTTTCCATTTACTTTCTAAAACTTCTAAGTTGAGAACTGAGAAATCAACTCAGAATATAGGTATTATTTATTTTAGGAATTACACAAATGAAACGCTGAGATAAACTAACAACTAAGTATAATTAATAATTAAATGTTAATTAGAATAAAATAAGACTATGAATAATTTGATGTTTGAAAATGTTTGTTGGTAAATAGTATGTATTAAAATAGATCACTCAAGATGGTAGTTAAATCTGCACGCTTCTGAATATTAATATTTTATTAATTATTCCGCAAAAAGTCTGGCGATCTTGGTACCAAAATATAGGGACTCTTTATATTAAAAAAACCGTACTATGTAGATATCAGAAATATGCATAACATGAATAAAATATTTCAAAGTGACTCTAAAGTAATAAAATATCTAATATGCCTGAAGGGCTTGAAGCATTAAAGTGAACTTAAATTATATAAAAAGAAATGATCTGGCCTTTTTATCCGTTCTGGTCACAAGCTGGTTGTGGTGAACTGCTGGAACTGGATCGTTATTATAACGTCTCCACACAGACAGGATCGGAAAATGCTGTATATTCAGGAGATTCTTCCGTTATTCAACGTGTATATTGTAGGGACAAACGTGGCCCAAATGTCAGATACAATAAACAAAATGGTACCAGAAATGCGTACCATAAAATAAAACCCTGTACAAATAGAAAAAGGGTATTAGGAAACGTTATGTAAAAAAAATAAAAGTCTTACCTCCGCTCAGAGGGTTTTCCCACACAAATTTCAAAAATGCCAAAAAAAACGCCGATAATTCTATCGGGTTCAGCTTCAACCACCAATATAGCGATAAAGGTAGGCACGAGATATATACCTATACCGTCAGAAATAAAGTGACGAACAACTTCGACCGGACTGAAATAACTAGCCAGAAATAAACTTGTAGAAAAAATAAAAGATAATAACAATACTTATAATGCCATCTCGGTGCGAGGACTTAAACTTGAATTGTTTAAATAAAATAATTCTGTACATTTATTTAAATTGTGTAAATTTTAAATAAAATGCTACAACCCTGTAGCTACGAAACAAAGCTGAATCGGACCTATGTTGATGTGAAAAATACATTTTATTTTTACGTGAGGAATCTCCCCACGAGAGATGGCACATGTTTTTTGAATCACCCTCTATAAAGAAACCGCGTATTTTTATTGAAACAATAAGTTTTTTTTCTGGTTAATTATAAGCCATTTTTGTTTTCAGTAACAATATCATCCCAATGGTACGCGTGGGGTCCTTCGCATATGCAGTGCCGTCTCTGCCAGCAGTGTTGGTCCTACTGGAAGAAATACGGCGGTCTCAAGATACCAACCAGGTTTGGAGATGGAGCCGATTTCGAGAATTGCGGGAAGAAGCGCTCGGGCAGCGACGGGGAAGATGACAAAGGAATGGGACACAGGCCCCATCGGTGTAATATCGGCGGATGTGGAAAAGGTGCAATAAGTCCCTCTTTTTGTCTTGAAAATGAAATAAATTTTATACAAACTAAAAAATAAATAAGTTGAACTGATATATTACTTGTGTGAAGCTTGATTTTCATGCGTCCGTTATCCGTTGATACGATGGTCCGACGACTCTCTGATTGGTCATAGCAAAAATAAATTAAATATAGGGATCGATATTTCGTGAACTTAGTGCGCGACCAAACTCAAGGGGGCGCTTCTTTTACTTTCATTTCGTGACATATAAGTAAAAATTCTAAAGGGCGATGTTTTATGATAATAACCGTCTATCAAAGAATGAAATCGAAATTATATTACCATAGAAACGCGTTTTGATTTTTAGCACTTAGAAAAAATTTAACCATATTTTCATATTTTTAGGGTTCCGTACCGAAAGACTTCGCTGTCCGTCCGTCCGTCTGTCACAAAGGTCTATCTTATGAACCGTTATAGCTAGACAGTTGAAATTTTTATAGATAATGTATCTATGTTGCCGCTATAAGAACAAATACTAAAAACAATTAAATAAATGTTTATAAATAAAAAAGTACTTTCACTAAACATTATCTTTTAGGTAAGAATTTTACATAGAATCTTTCAAGTCCTCGGTGGCCGCGTGGTTTAAAGCGTTAGGACTTTACGCTGCTATGACGTTGAAGCCGTAGTAAGGCAGGTTCGAATCCTAGTCAGGGCGACTCTTTTTTAATCGTTTTTTTTTAATATTGTCGCGACCTAGCTGGGGGTTGTGAAATATGAAGTCACATATTTAAGAAGTAAAAGGACACGCCCCACCACATATCGCGACCTAGCTGGGGGTTGTTTGCTAGTGTCGCTATACCAGGTTCTCTCTCTCAATCAAAACAACCATTGGATAAAATATGCATTTATTTAATATAAGGTTTACAGTGTATAACAATTTTGGGGAATGTCAAGACTTAACGGTTTACTTAAAGAAGTACTTACAGGAACATCTTCATTCTGCGCTGTCTTCTACTAACGGACTGATAACGCGAATTACTGACCGTAATAATGCGACTCACATCGACGGACTAACCTCCCGACTCTCTTCAGCATACATTTTTATATTTTCTATCCCTCGTGGTCATCGCCGGTTACGTCTAATCATCTAATTACATTCACCCGGCTATGACCATGAGGAAATCGAACTTTGGTAGCCTGCGTTTGATTATCGACCCGAGATTGTTGTATTTTAACTGTTTAATTATCAATGTTATTTAAAAACATATCTGGGTCAATGTCATGCAGGTAACCGATCTCTTGGGCCTATATCAAATTGGTTTACTCGAATTATATTTTATTTACTAGAATTATATTATTTGTGTTTTTTCCCAATTTGATCTAAACCCAAGTTGACATCTATTTAAATCTTGACAATATTTACATATTTATTTTTACTTTTTACATATTTATTATTGATTAATACAATTTTTAGTAATGTGTTTCTTCATTTTTTTTTAATTACTTATACGCGCATTCAAAATTTCAGCTAAATCGGAAAAAAAGTTGTAATAATGTGTAATAATACAGTGTCTAATGTATTCCGACTCGCACTTGACCATTTTTTTTTTAATTTTCTGTAAAACAGTATGGAAATTTGGAAAGTATATAAACGGGATTAACCATTTTAGAACAAGCAAAAATTTTTAAAAAGAACACAGTTTTTCCAAGATGTCAATAATAGAAAAGTGTTTCCTCTTGTAAAGTCAATTCGGGGACATACTCTATGTGTTCTAGTACATATAGTTCATACCAAATAAATTCTTAGTCACGTGATTGAGCTTGACCGGCACAGTGATGCCCACTTTTACATATTTTCTTTTAATCAAAATATTTTAGGAAACAGATATAAATTAATTATAAATACATAAACAGTTATTACTTACATCAACAAAACTCACCTTAACAACATTTAAGGGAGATTTTTATGGCTATTAAGCTATCTTGTACAGTGTGTCCCATTTTGGTTGAAATCGTAGGGTATCTCCGTTATTAGTGAAGATAGAAGGGTGCGGTTTGCACAAACCTGTCCCACTTTTTCGTCAAACGGAAGATGCTGCAAACAAAATTTTCATAGCCCTCTTAGTTTCTGAGCTACAGGGTCTTTTCGAAAATTTTGCAATTTGGGACATCTCCTGTATCTCTGTTATTGTTAAAGCTATCGAGAAGGCGAAAACTGCTTATTGTAGAACTTTTTACGTGGAATACAGTGGCGTAGTCTGTTTTTCTACCAAAAAAATATTTTTGAAAATATGGACTAAAGTTATGTTTTTATTATAAATCATATGATCTGTCTTGCTATGAGCTTCTCAAAAATATATATCACTCTATATTTATTTTTACTATTTACTGCAATATTTAAAATATATCATTTTCTTATTAGTAGGCCGTGATAAATAACAAAAAAATCAAAATGGTATTTACTAAAATAGTCATACACATATTAAAATTAATTTGGGATTGATATATTTTACTTTTGAAATAACTGTTTTATTTTTGAAATAACTGTTTTAACGATATATTTCGTGTTTCAAAAATCCCCAAAATCAGAAATCGAGAATGGCGAAATCCGGGAATCGAGGAGGCTATCAATATGTGTTCATTGGTTCCAATTCATTGATTTGAAAAATAATAATTTAACAGTATTCTAATATTTTCATAGTTATGAGGGGGAATGTTCCCCATCTTGCTGAAAGTATATTTCACGTAAATTCGCTAAAGGAATATCTAAAATTTCCGATACGATAGATTATTCGCACGTATACACGTATTCCAAGATTTACAAATAGCGGTAGGGAGTTAAGTTTCCCTAATATATAAAGAATTTATTAGCCGCTCCCAAAATAAAACAAGAGACAGATAGCAGTATACTTTTAATAATTCTTTAGTTTCTTTTATTATCAGTAGTAGCAGTAAATAGTGAACATAAATATATAGTGATATATATTTTTGAGAAGCTTATGGCAAAAGAGATCATATGATTTATAAATATACAGGGTGTGCTATTTAAAAAAACATAACTTTAGTTCATATTTTCAAAAATATTTTTTTTTGTAGAAAACCAGACTACGCCACTGTATTCTACGTAAACAGTTTTCACCTTCTCGATAGCTTTAACAATAACAGAGATACAGGGGGGTCCCAAATTGCAAAACTTTCAAAAAGACCCTGTAGCTCGGAAACGAAGAGGGCTATGAAAATTTTGTTTACGGCATCTTCCGTTTGACAAAAAAGTGAGACAGGTTTGTGCAAACCGCACCTTTCTATCTTCACTCATAACGGAGATACCGTATGACTTCAACCAAGATGGGACACCTTGTACACTAAAAGAGGTTCTAAAAAGAACAATGTTCTACTGCAAGGTCTGCTAGTAAACATTTTTAAGCTTAAAGTATCAGAACACTATTTATTTAAACCAAAAACTCGTGATACAAAACTAAAGTTTCAAAACGAAAGACAATGTCTGGAAATAAATAAATGTGGCAACTTGACTTTTTTACAGCAAAGCTACCACCTGAATCTCCAGCGGGAAATTTAAATTCCAGTTAGTCAGCCCGGCGCCGAATGTGTCCATGGTTGGCCAACAATGGATTTAAAAGTCGCGCCCTCGATTACGTAACTGAAAGTTTAATTGATATCAAATATTGTTGTGAACTAGTGTTTTTGTTGTGATTAAAGTTTTATTCTTCATAAAATTTCAGAATAAATAAAAACTTCCACTGTTGCCACCAATTTACCATTGTTAAATTACATATTCAACAGTTTTATTTTGAAGGAAACTTACAATTTTGATATTCTAACGAATGTTTCAGTATTTTAATATCTATTCTTTTCATTTTGCAGAATTCAAATTAAAGGCTCACCTGGGCCGTCACTACGCCACCGCTCACGGGATAACAGTGCGGGCGGGCTCGCCTCGGCCTGTCATGAAAACGCGCACCGCTTTCTATTTGCTCACCACGCCGTTGACGCGGCTGTCTAGGCGGCTGTGCCGCCAGATCATGCGGCCGAGGCACGCGGCCAGGGCGCCCTTCTTCGCCATCAACATACAGGCGGTCAAGCAGGAGTGCACGACACAAATGGTAAGTTCAAAAGGGATATATTTGGAGATATGTTGTTTGGTTCTCTCTTTCTGTCTGTGAACTACTTTGAAGACGATGAGTTATTGCTTTTTGAAGTGAAACTTCTTTACGCGCGATGGGAGTACTTACTTTTACTTTTTCGTATCCGGATTATATTATAGTTAGGTTGTAACCCAGTAATGGGCTACGTTCAATTGTATTGTATTGTATTGACTAAGGGTGGGTCCCATGGGGGGACCCTCCACTGAGGCCGCGAGGGTCTATTGTGGCTCAGTTTCTACACGCTCTAATTTACAAGAGCGTAAAAGTTCACCCTCAAGACCCAGCCTCCTAATATAGGCCGTTATGTCTGAGGGCGAAATGTCTCCTAGGTCTGATAGGTCTAGCATGGGTTTGCCAAACATCTCAAACCTGGTCCTGCTCCCAGCGGGGCAGGTACACATAACGTGCTTCATTGTTTCGTCATCTTCCATACAGAGTCGGCATTCGGCGTCTTCCACCAGTCCCGTCCTCTGTAGGTGAGATCTCAGCCGGCAGTGGCCCGTGTACACTGCAGTGAGCACACGCGTTCCATTCCTACCGGCCTTTAGGAGTTCTCCTGTTCTATGTTTGGATGGCCCTGCTAGGATTTTCTTGCCATGTTCCATTCCGGGACTGTCATTCCAGTCCCGGAACGTCGCACTCCTAACCCATTCACAGAGCCTGTCTCTTGCGAGATTTTTAGGAACGGTAAGTGTCGGTTCTGGGCCCACGAATGGCGAGCATGCACCAATTTTGGCGAGGGAATCAGCACGTTCATTTCCCTCTAGGCCGACATGTCCCGGTATCCATATTAGCGACACTTTGTTCCTATCTCCCAGTATAGTGAGTAGTTTCTTACATTGAAGAATCGTCATAGACGTGCTTTTCGTTGCCTCGAGTGCTATCAGCGCGGCTTGACTATCCGAAAATATGCATATTGTTTTCCCGGTGTATTGCTGTTCTACCAGCAGTTGCACACAGGTTTCAATAGCATATAGCTCAGCTTGGAAGATCGTGGTGTGTTTTCCAAGATTGTAGTAGATCTCAGTCTTTGGACTGCTGCAGTAAATTCCTGCTCCAGATCCTTTTTCGTTTTTGGTACCAACACATTTCCGCATGTAGTAAACCGTTTCCCGGCTTATCCCACTCGTCCCTATTCGGAAACAGGACGTTGTAGGTGCGCGTCAAGAGTTGGACTGGTGGTGTAAGATCCGAGATCATTCCCAGAATCTCATCCGACTGTAGTTCTTCTACTAGCCGGTTTTGTATGAACATAATTGTTCCTTGGCTTCCTCGTGCTATATTTAGAAACCTATATGTAGCCCATCTCGCCTCTCTTTCCAAAAGAATTTGAAGAGGAGGTAGGTCGAGTAGTGTTTCCATGGCTTTTGACGGCGTGGAATGGAAGGCACCGGTCACCGCTAAGCATGCTTGTCGTTGTAGTTTCGACAATTTATTCTTTGCCGTTGTTTGGTTGGCTTTCTGCCACCAGGCAACTGCACCATACGTGATAATAGGTCTGATGGCCGTCACGTATAGCCAGTACATATTTTTGGGGTTTAATCCAATCCTTCCAATGCTTCCCGTTTAGCCAGCCATAGATCTTCGAGGGTACATCTGTGGGGGCACGCAGGACATTGAAGAAGATGCTGATCCTGAAAGGCGCCGCAGTCGCATTTGTCGTCATTTCTGTCCAGCAAACCCCATTTGATCAAATTGGATTTTACTGGGGCCACCCCAGTTCTGATTCGGTTGAGCATTCTCCAGGTCGCTAGAAACACCATTTGGTGGGTCCTCTCTAAGTGTGTAGTGGGAGGGAGGTTCATCCAGGGGGTGGCTTAAGAAACGGCGTCTGGATTTAAGTCTACCTGTGCCGCACTCTAGGCCAAAAATTGAGCGACGAGCATCAAAGGTTTGTTTTAACTTCTCAGTATGTTCATGAGCTTTTCTGCGTAAATCGGGGCTTGTAAAACCTGCGGCCTTGTAAAGAATTTCTAAGGGGGTGGGTTTCATACAACCTGTCACTATTCTGCATGTTTCATTCAGACTGATGTTCGCCTTTTTTGCATGGCCAGATCTACACCACACTGGGCAGGCATATTCTGCAGTTGAAAAACACAGAGCTTGAGCAGAAGTTCTGACCACGGTAGGTTTGGCTCCTCATTTACTATTGGTCAGCTGCCTTATGAGGGAATTTCGTGCTTCTACTTTCTTGCGTGTTTTTTCGCAGTGATATTTATAAGTCAATGTTCTGTCCAGCCCGACGCCAAGATAGGTAGGCTTATCTGTGTGTTCTAGTAGTGTCCCGTCCCATGTAACATTAAGTCTGCGGGTCGCCTGTCGCGAATTAAGTTGGAATGTACTCACTTTAGTTTTGGTGGGGTTGGGTTTTAAAGAATTTAAAGAATTCTTTTTGTAATAGGTTGACATTGTTTTTCGGGCGCTTTCTAGTTTCTCCTCGATATCTTCGAACCCTTTGCCTTCAACTGTTATTGCTAGGTCATCTGCATATGCAAAGGTTCTAGTGTTATCTGGAATAGGTAGGTCATTTGTATATATGTTGAAAAGAATTGGTGCCAGCATGCTCCCTTGTGCCAACTTGTGTAATCTTTCAAGGTCTCATTGGCTTTATGCAGTAATATCTTGTGGTTTACCGTGTCATAGGCGGAACTTAGGTCGACTAGGGCCAGCCCTGTGATGTGTTTATCCTCAAAACCCTCCTCGATATGTTCTGTCAATGCGAGGATTTGACTGGTGCAGGACTTTCCAGGTCTGAATCCTGCCTGTTGTGGAATCAACTTTGAATCGACGGTTTTCTCTATTCTGTAGAGGATTAGTCTTTCGCGATGGGAGTAAAAGACACGAGATGATCTTGATTATGCTTTGACGCACGAACTAGCGAAAAAAATTATTAATGAAAAGATCGCTCAAACACCAAAAAACATATTATTTAAAGCTAAGAAACGCATTATAATAAACTTGATACCCTACCTGGGTACAAATATCCTCTGGTTGTGTGCTAGGAAATAAATTTTCATCTATATTTTCATCGATAATTTTAGTAGCTTCTAAATAATGGTTTAGGTAAAGCATCTAGCTCAGTTACCAGCTCAGAATTAGAATGATATTGGAGTTAGTAAGTAGCATTTTCATTGGAGGACAATGTCCTATTTATTTCAAGCCAATAATCAACGAGAATATTCGTATAATTTAATAAAATTACTGTAAATCACTGTAATACATTGATTTTTCTCCGAAGAGTAACCATAGCTCCGATTCTGAATCTCTTACTAAAACTTACGAGATGTGGTATATGGCAACCATATGACAAAAAACAAAAATCTCATGAATCAAATGTGCACGATCCATGTGCGGCAAATGCAGATCCTATATTTCAAAATAGCTGTTACTGTCATATTTTATATCAGTTTGAAATATCAGACATCTGTACTATTTATTGATTTTATTGTTTAACGGACAATACCTATATAAAAAAAGCGATTTTATTTTAGTCTCGCGATACAACAGCCCACAAACAAACACAAACCCATTGTAATTTGCTATTTACTTTTGAATGAATACTGATGCATCAAGAATATTCATGTTCCATCATTATGACTTGGCATCTCTACCTACATATCGAAAAAAACTGTTATTTACGCTTTCGAAATTAAAAAAATAATAGTTACTTGCTTCAAAGAACACCTAGCAGCGTACGGCTATTTTAATACTTGTTATTTTCTGAAAGTAACTGTATCTGTTGTCAGCGGACTGTTATTTTACAACTGTTATTTTTTGGAACAGCTGTTGTGAAATAACAGCCCGCTGATAACAGTTATTCAAAAAAAACTAACAATAATCTAAATATAAATAAATATTATTTAAAATTATGGCGCAACGCTCCCAGCACGCTTGCGTTCTCTGGCAGTGTTGCACTGTTGTTTTAATACCTATTATTATTATTTTAAGACTTTCTGTAATTTTATTCTTAAAATCACATTATTTTGTAAATCGGCGTTGGCTATTTAATTACGTTTACAACAATTATTTTGGTGAATTAAATTTATACCAAATAATAAAAATAGCTTTATTTTATTTACTAGCGTGTACCCGCGACTTCGTTCGCGTCGAATTAATCATTTGTAATGGTGATGATACAGCAAAGCAATTAACATACAAACTGGATAAAATTTTCTCACATTTATGTCAGCATGAGAAAAAACAATATGGCGATATTATTACCTATATAATTTGATAATATTTGAGGGGTAGTTTCATCTCGTTAGAATTTGACTTTCGAAAAATCCGTTTGGCAAAAATAAGCTTTTTACGTCAAGCAGTTTAAGCAGAATCGTGGTTAATTAATTACCCAACTTTTTGAAACACCCTGTATGATTTTTTAAAAAATTTTAAAATATGTAAAAAAACAAAATAAATTATACGTGTCCAAACGTTTTCCCGAAAGACTAACCGTTTTTTTAAACAAATATTGTAATATTTGAGGGGCGTTTTCACCCTCTTGGAATTTGAGATTCGAGAAACCCCTCCTTATCGAACCTCTACACCCCACAGTCAATCCGTTTGCCAAAAATCAGCTTTAAACGTCAAGCAGTTTAAACAGAATCGTGATTATACTAAATACAGGGTGGTCCGAATTGTATTCCGGAAACTTCGGCAGCATATTCTGCAGATAAAAATAAATTAAAAAGTTTGTATAAATGTAGGTCCTAAAATGCTTAGTTTCAGAGATACATGGTGTAGAAGTTTTATTTTTATTTCGATTTTTTCTAAATAATTTCTGAAGTAACGTCAATATTTGGATGAAAATTGGTGTCTGGGAGTTTTTTGACACGAGAAATTTGGGATTTTGATATCAATATGACTCCTACTAGTAGAGGATGCCACCTACATGTGTTTTAACCAAGGGGTAAATCGCAGAGGAATTATGGTGTACACTATGAAGGAATTCTACAGGAATTCCATAGGAATTACTAGGAATTCCAATTATTTCTGTAAGAATTCCAAGGAATTCCTTAGAAATTTAGAGGAATTCCACAGGAATTAAGAGGAATTACAAGCAACTGTATAAAAAATTAACAAACATTAGTAAACCATGAATACTATAAGAGGTAGTACTAAATTTAAAGAAAAACGTTTTGCAGGCGATTTTTTACTATCCGTTTTTCGTTTTCACTTCCAAAATTTCCCAATATCAAATATCTACACAGGTTAGATATTCTTTTAATTTAATATTGTACCCTCGATTATATATCTAAAATATTTTCCAATAGTACGGCCGAACCACCCCGAGAGATCTACTTATAACGTTCCCTGATTTCGCCATTTTAAAGAAACCCTCATAAGATTTTTTTATTCAGTACTCAGAAAGTGTAAAGTTGATTTTTTCATTTCCTCGGAATAATACCTGGGTATATACTACAGGGAAATTAATACAACTTTAGGTGCTAGGGTTGCCAAGTGTCCTCCTTTCGGGAGGACAGTCCTCCTTTTAGAAGAAAAGTCCTCCTGCCTCCTTTTGCACCCAAATGTCCTCCTTTTACAATCTTTGACAAAAAAGTTCCTTAAACCATGATTTTGTGCTCAAAATAATAATTTTTCTGTAGCCTATAATAATTTATAGTTTGCATTTTATTTTGTCTTTCTTTAATCTTGATGCTATTTCGCCCATTCAGCTGTCATAAACAAGATTGCTTCTGCATAGGTATTTCAGTTTTAGTTTATTTCTGTGAATCAAAGATTCACTGTCGTGGCTGTATTTTGTAATGTTTTTTTTTCAATAAATCGTTCATGCAGTATTGCAATCCAAATATTTGTATACCCCCTCCCCCTCACCCCGCTTCAACAGGGAAATGTCCTCCCCTTGCTTTTGAAAAACTTGGCAATCCTATTAGGTGCACTTCATCAATGATACCGTGCGTAATCTTATGGAATTTACTGGTGATCGTATTATGACGTGCAACTGAAGTTTTATTAATTTCCTTTCCTATAGATACGAGTATAACTAGGTACCTATAATTTTCAAAAAATCCCGAGAAAAATTAATTTTAATAAGTAAGTGCCGACATATTTCCAGTATTTTTACCTCATGATCCCCTATTAGTCCTAAAATTTAACTAAAAAAACGTAAATCTTGTAATAGTACTTTTTATTGTTAGATCTAGTACTTATAGAGACATTAGACATTTATAAAAATCACCAGAAAATTCATAGCGGAACTGCGAAACCGAGGTGGCAACGCTGGTTCAGACTGAAAGAGTTACCGAGTTCGTACTAAGGAATTCCAAGGAAGACCTTGAATGATTGACCTTGACCTTGATGACCAGGAATTCCAAGGAATTCCGAAGGAATTACGAGGGATTCTGAGGAATTATTTGAGTAAAAGGAATTACGGTGTACACTTTTCCCTCTGCGGTTTACCCCTCGGTTTTAACTGTTTTGAAGCGTAATAACTTTTTGTCCGTACCTGTATAAAACTACCGAGCGAAAAAATATACATCTCAGTGACTTTTTACGTACAAAATATATCTTTGTAAAGATCGCTAGGAACAACAGTTCTTAAGATATTTAGAATGGAAATAGTCAATACATGTCATTATTGACGAAAAATAAACACGTTGAGTAAATAGTTATTTTACTGAAATAATAAATTTAAAATTTTTTATTTTTTTTAAATTAATTATAAATTTTTCTGCAAAAAATGATGATAAAACAGTTTCTGTTGAACTTTTGGCACAAAAATATTTCAAATTTATGATTTCAGTTTATTAACTATTTAGTCAACATGTTTAATTAATGTCGATGACAGGTATTAATAATTTCGATTCCAAATATCTCGAAAACCATTACTCGTAGCGATTTTTACCAAGAGACGTTTTTTACGTAAAAAACGTCGTAAATGTATATTTTTTTACTCAGTAGTTTTATACAGGGACGGACGAAAAGTTATTACTCTTCAAACCGGTTAAAAAATATGTAGGTGGCGCCCTCTACTAGTAGGAGCCATATTGACATCAAAATCAAATTTTTCATCGAAATAAAAATGAAACTTCTACACCCTGTATCTCCGAAACTAAGCATTTTAGGACATACATTTATACGAACTTTTTTACTTATTTTTATCTGCAGAATATGCTGCCGAAGTTTCCGGAATACAATTCGGACCACCCTGTATATTAATTTTTTTACTGTTTCCCAATTATTTTCCATATCGACGCTCTGATGTAGTAGTATAAGCTTAGATCTTATCGTTGAACGATGGCAGAACATTCTTTAGTAATAGATGGCTTTTATAATCATGAATAATATTTCTTTACATTAGACATAAATCCATTTCTTTGTCCAGGTTCCTCCTTGAACGCGCCCTCGGCCAAACGCATGACCAAGGAACCCATCTCCCTGACGCGGCATCCGACCGTACCCTCCATCATGCCCGGCGGCGGCGTCACGGCTGCCGCACCCGCGCCCTTGCCCACTCCCCTCCCGCTGCCTCTAACCGTGCCGTCCACGCCCGAGCAGTACCAGGCGATGATGGCGGCTGCAGCGGCCGCACAGGCGCAGATCTCGCCCGTGCCGGGGCCCGGCCCGGTGCCCGCGGTCGTACCGTCGCCGATGCCGCGCCACGTGGCCCACGTCAACGGCAAACCGAAGATAGCTCAGATGACGCGAGGAGCGGGCAGGAAGCAGGTGATCAGCTGGATGGACGCGCCGGATGATTTGTACTTTCGGGCTACCGATCAGTCTAAGTAAGTATCGATGATTTTTTAGAAGTTATTTAAATGGAAAAGACAGAAAGTGTCGGTCTTATATCAAAAAAGAATGTGGCACTTATAGAGATATAAATTTTTACACTATTGAAAAGGCTTCTCAATTCGTTAGTTTTTGACTATACATGTTCCTATACCTAAAATAAATTGTTTTTAAGTTATTGAAGATTTAGTGTTAAAGCGTATATTTTTCTTGATTTTAACCAGTTGCCTATGACTTTAAACGTCAAGTGATGTAAAACAATAGATCTGGCCATGTCATATTGTGGCACTTTGTTCAACAAGCAGTATGTTATCGATCATCATTTCCAAGCCAACTTTGCGCTGTTTTTTTTTCGATCATACGTCATACGGTATATTATTAATAATATCAACTATTAGATATCACTAAAGAGCGAAAATACGAGATATATTTTTATGAATACATTTTTTAAACTCTTAAGGCAGACGGCCACTGCCAGCGACACTAAACTAAGCTTCTTCTTCTTTACGTGCCGTCTCTTTCGTGGAGGTTGGTGATCACATTGGCTAAATCTTCACGATTCTCGGCTTTTCTTATGAGTTCTTCAAAAGTTAGGTGAGTCCAGTTTCTGATGTTTCTCAACCAAGATAGTTTTTTCCTGCCGAGAGCTAAGAATATAGAAAGAAACGGTACCTAAACGGAAATAAGTTTCATCGGCCACTGGGAACGATTTTTGCTTAGTAGTCAGCTAAGTTATAGTCTGTGAAGCGAATAACTTTGAATTTGACAGTTCCCGCGGGCTTTTCTAGTGTTAATTTTATTAGGTTAGCAACTTGCGGCCATGCTGACGCAATGCCGTCTCTAATAGAACAGCCCCGGAGCGAGATTTATGATGTCACGCTAGTTAGATGCTATGGATTAATAAATATGTTGTAGAATACATGGAAAACATAATTATACCTCGTATTTTTGATTTGTATTTTAAAAATGATATAGTTTACATGAAATATACATATAAGTTTTAAGTTTTGTGAATGCAAATAATAATACATCACTATTAGTAGATATTGAATGTTTTTTGTTAAATTAGATCGATTTTCAAACCCCAAAATTTAAAATATATTTTACATTTTACCCATTATCTTATGTACCTATTCATTATTTGTATATTGTAAAACATATGCTGCATTTTTATGGTTCATAGTTTTATTTGCCAAAGTATTTATTACTATAAATAGGTATATATATTGTATTTATTAACTGTATATTATGTATATTTCATGTAAACTGTATCATTTTTAAAATACAAACCAAAAATACGAGGAATAATTATGTTTTCCATGTATTCTACAACATATTTATTGATCCGTAGTATCTAACTAGCGTGACGTCATAAATCTCGGTCCGAGGCTCTTCTATTAGAGACTGCATTGGTCTGATATTTAGAAATGCCAAAAGCTGATGACATTTTACTTTTGACAATTATGACATTTTGTGTTGATTTTTCAAGAAGACTGTGACTTGTTTTATTATTTTCCTTTTCTATTTCACGAAAGTAAAAAGAGTTACCTATCTGATTCGTTCAGGCACTCATTTTAAAGAATATCAGTAACTTTTTTGACAGAGGGATTTTATATTTGCCATATTGGTAAAAAATAACGGTCAAAATTCAAATTTATTCATTTTATAGACTATAGTTGCGTTTTCGTATTGTGTCTATGCTCTCATAGAATTAATCGCTGCGAAAAATTCGCTGGAACCTGTCACGAACTAAAACGAGCGAAACTAAACTACAATTAGAATCTTCGTTCATATATTTTCGTTTAGTTTCGCTCAAGTGGCCGCTGATGCATTTAAAAGTATTGGAGCTGATTTTTACAAATCTTATCTTCGCTTGGCTTAGTTTAGTTTCGGTCGCAGTGGCCGGCCGCCTTTAAGCAGGCAGTATTTATAATATAGAAAATTCAAATAATTCGTTTTCTGACAGATGGAAATAAATTGTCCGACTGTTTGACACTTAATGTCAAAGGAAGCTAGATAAAATCAAGAAAAATATACGTTTTGAAACTGAATTTTGAATAACTTAAAAACGATTTATTTTAGGTATAGGAACATGTATATTCAAAAAGTAACGAATTGGAAAACCTTGCCCATAGTTAAATAAAAAAAAGTAGAATGATGAATCCGCCACATAAGTATAGACATTTTTTAAAAAAAGTAGGTTTCCATTTGAAACAAAAATGGTTTATGATAATATATTTTTTTTTAATTGCTCAATTCCATGACAGCTAGCTACCAACATTATTATATGACATTTGATAATTTAATTTTTGAAATAGATAGCCACATGTTTATGTCACAGTGGATGTGGTAATCATTAAATTTGACTTTTAGGCTATACGAATTTTTTTGAAATATAGTTTTTTTCGCCCAAAAATATTAAATATTTTTTTTTCTCAAAAACGGTCAATGTTAGGTATAGAGTGTTTAACATCAATATTCTCATAGAATTTTACAGAGAATTTAAGTATGTAATAAAAGATGAGGGCACCCATTTAAAATAAGAAAGTTGCTGTCAACTTCCGGTATTTCCGGAAGTGCCGCTATATTAATATATTAAGAATATTTTTAATCGATAGATCTCATTGTAAAACAATAATGTGCAAAAAATCTCCGATCTAGATATTATAGTTCTCTAGAAACTTCTAATGCACGCTCAGCCTGGGACACCCTGTATATCAAATAGTTCTAAAATCTTTAGTACTTGTATAATAGATGAGTATTTATGCAAATACTTATTTTTAGTATCATATTTTTTTTAATTTTAGAGTTTAAGATCATAATATTATATACCCTGCTGGTCGTCCAATTTATGTGGTCTGGATTTTAATGAGCGTGACAGAGAATAATATAAATGACCGGTTGACAGACAGAGAGACAAAATCAGAAGCGGCATACAGTGTTGCCGGTTTTTTACGTTTGTAGGAAAATGTGTGTAGAAAAATATAAGCTATTTTAAAAACTTTCATGTATACTACTGAAATGATGATAATATATCTAAACTAAATATAATCTATTACAGCTGTAGTAAAATGAGTAACTAATAATGAAAAATAAAGTCCCAACCTTAAATGCAACATTATTTTCGTTACCGCCTACTTGTGCGGTTTGAAATTTTGATGCAAAATCCGGCAATACCGCATAGAAGAAATGTGTCGACCCAATTTTTATCTTTTTTTAATACATTTGATTTTCCATTAAGCTGTCTACATCACCGTCTTAAGCTTGATTTTCATGCATCCGTTGTCCGACGATACGATGATACGATATTAATTTTATTGTTTGAATTTAAAGGCTTCGATTGGTTAACCGTTTCTAACCAATGGAAGTCTTTAAATTCAACCAATAAAATTAATAACGGACCATCGTATCAACGGATAACGGACGCATGAAAATCAAGCTTTACACGTTAAATTCCAGACCACACAGTTTCGATGACCAAATCGGTATAAGTTCTATCAGTTGTTTCTCTGTTTAATAATGGTTTTATTTTCAGGAAAATGAGACGCCAAATAACGCTGCCCGAGCTGCGGCGAGCCGCGAGGAAGCCGTGGCGCCCCCTCAAAACCAAAGCGGACGATCCACAAGTGGTCGTTCTCGATTGACGTTAAGCGCACTCGCCCCACCCTATATTCAGATTCTTCGCCCCCCACTAATAACGAAATCTTATTGTACACACAACTTGAAGCGCAACGCTCGTTACTGCCTGTCCTCATGTCCTACCCCCACCATGTTAAATGTCCGCAAAAAAGACTGCGAGGATCAAATGCGATTTTTTTAGGTTACCGGAAAAAAATCCGATTTGATGCAGCCTTTTCTGCCGACCCTGTATACATAGTCACTCCCCGTACTCGTTAATATCATCCCGTCACACTTAACCTACACGTTTTCTAAACGTACAAAATCTGCGAGTGTTGAATTCGTGTCGTCGCGCGTGAAACAGTGCGCGCTCTTGGATTGTTGGCCTTCGATACAGACAGATGTAAAATTTTAACGTTAATTTGTGTTTTTAACCGCTCAAAATTAGTTAATTTTAAATAAGCGACAATCCAAAGAAGAAAGTAATTGTCCTCCCCCCGTATTTTTTCGCAGAAGAAACCTTTTGTTACTTTTGTACAGTACCTGGTAACAGTCGCCGCGGTTTTGTAGGTGTTTGATCGTTGGTCCGGCAAACACAAGGATCTCTGCTGCTGGCGTCCTCTATGTGTTGTGGCGTTAACTAGAAACAGTCGCGATGGACTTTGTTTATGGAGTAAGCGCCCACCCTCTCCCCGTGATGGTGAAAGTACTAGTGAAAAATGTCGCGAACGCGTTTTAGCAATATTTTAACGTATTGTAAAACTGGAGAAAGCAAGAAAGACACTTGGACAAAAGATATTTGTGATCTAAGTGATAAGCACACTTTTTTTTGTTTCATCGACTAAATTAATGCAAACTTTTAATTCATTTTTTATTTATTAAGTATATTGTACAATAAAACGTATACATACGAATTGTGTTCTTTTTTTGGTAGGTTTATGGTATATTATTGTTAGCCTGAAATGTTTTTGACCAAAAATGTCTATAACTGAGTATTCTCTCATTACCAGTTACAGAATTTTAGTTACACTCATCAGAAATTTTTGGATGGTGGGATTTAAAGGTCTTGACAGAAAAAAACTAAACTACATGTGTAAATTTCAGCATCACACAATTTAACTATAAATTTGACAACCCTTCCTTCAAGTTTTTCCAAATTAGTATTATATGGTGCTTCCTCAAAACCACAGACAATCTACAAGTGGACGTTCTCGATTGACGTTAAGCATACCCGCTCCACCCTCTCTTCAGATTGTTCTTCGCCCACTAATAACGAAATCTTATTGTACACTCAACTTGACGCGCAACGCTCATTACTGCCTGTCCTCATGTTGCTACCCCCACCATTTTAAATGTCCGTCTACTTACAATGTCCGCAAAAAAGATTGCGAGAATCAAATGCGATTTTTTTTTATGTTACCGAATAAAAAAATCCGATTTGGTGCAGCCTTTTATGCCGACCCTGTATACATAATCACACCCCGTACTCGTTAATATCATCCCGTCACCCTTAACCTACATGTTTTCTAAACGTACAAAATCTGCGAGTGTTGAATTCGTGTCGTCGCGCGTGAAACAGTGCGCGCTCTTGGATTGTTGGCCTTCGATACAGACAGATGTAAAATTTTAACGTTAATTTGTGTTTTTAACCGCTCAAAATTAGTTAATTTTAAATAAGCGACAATCCAAAGAAGAAAGTAATTGTCCTCCCCCCGTATTTTTTCGCAAAAGAAACCTTTTATTACTTTTGTACAGTACCTGGTAACATTCGCCGCGGTTTTGTAGGTGTTTGATCGTTGGTCCGGCAAACACAAGGATCTCTGCTGCTGGCGTCCTCTATGTGTTGTGGCGTTAACTAGAAACAGTCGCGATGGACTTTGTTTATGTAGTAAGCGCCCGCCCTCTTCCCGTGATGGTGAAAGTACTAGTGAAAAATGTCGCGAACGCGTTTTAGCAATATTTTAACGTATTGTAAAACTGGAGAAAGCAAGAAAGACACTTGGACAAAAGATATTTGTGATCTAAGTGATAAGCACACTTTTTTTTGTTTCATCGACTAAATTAATGCAAACTTTTAATTCATTTTTTATTTATTAAGTATATTGTACAATAAAACGTATACATACGAATTGTGTTCTTTTTTTGGTAGTTTTATGGTATATTATTGTTAGCCTGAAATGTTTTTGACCAAAAATGTCTATAACTGAGTATTCTCTCATTACCAGTTACAGAATGTTAGTTACACTCATCAGAAATTTTTGGATGATGAGATTTAAAAGTCTTGTAATGTGTAAGTTTTAACATCACACAATTTAACTATAAATTTGGCAACACTTCCTTCAAGTTTTTCGAAGTTTATAATTAACTTGAAGCGCAACGCTCGTTACTGGTTATTGCCTATCCTCATGTCCCTACCCTCCACCATTTTAAATGTCATTAGGCAAGATAGGCAGCTGCCTAGGGCGGCAAATTTTGGTAAACGTGACGATTTTTAATTAAGAGGACGTCAAAACGTGGTTTTGATGTCTTTTTAATTAAAAATGGACAGGTTGTGCCAAAAGATTGGCAACCAATGAGGAAATATTTTATAATTTAGTTAAGCTAAAGGCTCTCCAACCCAGTGTGAGTACATATCAATGTAAAATCTCTGACGAGGGGTAGGGGACTCAAAAACTCACAATCTTTTAGGATGTTTATTTCAACATTTAATTTGATTTAAAATTGGTGCGACATTTGCCAATGAATCCCGAAACACGTCTCCCCAGTCTTAAATCAAATTAAATTTTGAAATAAACATCCTAAAAGATTGTGAGTTTTTTGAGTCCCCTACCCCTCGTCAGAGGTTTTACATTTATAATTTAGTTATTGAACACAGTTTTTACAGATTTTCTTCAGCATCCCATTCAATATCATTAATCATAATGTTGTACGATATACTACCAAAAACCTTCTAATGATATGCAAAAAGTAGGATCAGGTGATTAAATATTCAAAAAATTAAAAAAAATCGAATTTAATTTATCATCTGTTTAATCATAAGATTCAAAATATACAGGAACTTTCAAAAATAACACATTCCCCATTAATTTTCGAAAAAAATAAAAAAATTTCGTATGAATGACACAAGAAAAAATGAATCAAATAAAATATTTTCCAATGCAGTTATTTTAACCTTTTTTAACTTATCTACTGTCCCGGAATGAATATAAAAAAAAACTAAAAATGTTAATTCTCACTTTGATACAATGGCCTATAGACAACAAAAAATCATTTGCAGTAACTTTAAGGTGCGTTCACACCTACTGCGCCGCTCCGCGCCGCGCAAATCATGTTTTTAACGTGTACTTTTGTGTGCGCTAAAAAAAATACACTTCAAAAGTACATGTTAAAAAAATATTTTGGGGGCGCGGCGCGGCCGGTAGAAATGCAGAATTAAATAAAAATTGGAATTTTAATTGTTTCACACATTTTTTCCTATTCGGACGGTTATAAAATTTAATACTAACTCTTACGCTTATTAGACTTACTTAGTTATGAATAGACTTTATTTATTCATATTCTTGATAATTTTTTTTCGCCTACGCCTATGGCGGATGACTGCTTTAACGTACTAAACGTACCTAATAATTAAAACGTACTTCAGAAAAGGTACAACACTATATTATAGACTATATTTTAGGACATATAGTATAATATTAGAAAAATTATGAAATTAAATAAGTCGCTAAAAAGGTTTGAGTGCAGAAAATTAACTGTTTTAAACGTAATTTATGGTTTTTTATAGTTGCGGCTTCACTTGAAAGCTGAACAACTAATCACCATCGTAATAAAGTTTATACAAAGTTCGCTACACGCAACAAACTTAATAATCGCTAAAATTGTCGCTGGTTAACACATCATTTGTCTCCTAAAAAATGGCGCCAAATATCACAAATTTTGCACCAGCCTCTATATGCGCGTGGAGCTTCCTTGTATTCTTTAGTTATTGCAGCATACTGTATACTGTTTTAAATTGCGAAAATATAAGCAAAAATCTTTAAAAGGCAAAAAGAATAATTATTGGAGGTAGCGCCATCTGCCCTCCTAGGCTTTATATTAAAGAATGTATAATAAAAAATAGTTTCAACGTGAATGCATAGATGGCCATACTATTCTCTTATTATAGGTTTCTTTTTACCATTAGTTATTTTGGTGAATGAAATAAAATTCAACTGCTTCTAAGCATTGTTCTAAACTTTTATTCTCTTCTCGAGATCGATCCTTATCGATGAATGCTGATAAAATTAAATTAAGCTTGATGTTTTATCTTTTTCTCTTTAGAAGGGATATGGTTTGTGTCGTAGAATAAATTACAGTAATCCTGTACTTTGATATACATATATTCTCTTCTTAATTTACTGAAACTTCTTTCATGTAATGCCAAAATCTAGATAATATGGTGAAGGTGTTCATTTTTGATCTTATTAGATTTATACAGACCAACTTAAGTTAGTTTGTTATTTATATTAAGATATTTCTTATAATTTTTTTGTCTTAATACCTACTACATATTATGCTTTGTGGTGTGGAGAATAAATGTTAAGATATCTTAATACTTGCATATCCTTGCATTAGGAAAAATATTGTTTATAAATCATATATGCTAAGAAAATCACATAAATTAGGTGTAAGAATAGAAACATCTTAATGTAGCAGAAAAATTAATGCAATATATGTATAAGCAGAATTAAACAAAAGGTAAGAAAGTACCTATTAATATTGCTGATTCTACAGTTATAACCTTGATTATGAATAACGGAATTTTATATACTGACAAGAGTTATAATTACGGAGGCCTTTTTAAGGCCTACTTAGTTTTAGTGGAATGTTTTAAAACCTATTATAAACATGATATGGAGCTACAGCTGTGCTACAGCATTTAAAAATTAAAAAAAGAAGAAACTTGGACACACCTCTTAATTTTCCGAATTTTTAATAAAACACTTTTTAAGCGTAGCATAATAATCTAGAGCAGTCAGATTAATTATAGCAATCTAGAGTTTTATTGACTATGAAAATACTTAATAAGGGTTTTTACTTGTTGTGCGAAATATTAAAATAATAATATGAATAATACTTGATAATACCGTATGATCGAAAAAAATGGCATCAGCGATGACTATGCATGAAGATCGCTCTCATTTTATAATATGTAAATTTATATGGGAAATGTCATCGATCGTCATTTCTTAGCCAAATGGACGCCGTTTAAAATATAAACGCGGCCTTTATCTAAAATATAAAAATATGATTTATTATATAATTAAGATATCTTAACAGTTATTTTCCACACCACAAAGCATAATATGTAGTATTAAGATATAAAAAACTAGTTGAAGCCTAGCGCATCCGCCACGACATCAGGAAAAATATCCTTTTTATTTTTATTTTTTGATTAAATGAAAAACAAAAAATCCGGCGACGACAGTTTTTAGAAGAGCCAATTACCTATCTTTTAGTAAAAAAAAGCAACTTTCTAGAGCAAGTCGTTACTTCAGTAGAGACGGCACAGATAAACATTAACACTTTATACAGGGTGTTTCAAAACAAATGCGAAAAACTTCAGGGGGTGATTCCTTGTTCAAAATAAAGGGTAGTTTGCTTCATAAACGTTGGGTCAAAAGTCAACCATTAGGGAGATATCGCGGTACAAAGATGGCGGAAAAATAATGTTTTTATTTTTTATCTTGAAAACAAAAAGAGATAGATTAATGAAATTTTATGGAAGCATTACTGTTATGAAAACACACTTTCTGGTAATTTTTTCACTTTTTTAAAATGAGTGGAAGGGGTTGAAATAAACTACCCCTATCATTCTTGTTAACGAAATTTAAAGAAAAATCTTATCAAACACATGCAAAAAAAATTAATTTGGATAGTTTAGTTTGTTTAGAAACTTTTTTATCTCTTGTGTTTTTTTGATAAAACTCACCGATTTGAAATTAAAAAATAAAATGTAAAGCATTACATGCCAGGACAAAAAACATTTTCTGATAAAGAATCTAGTGGGCTGCTGTATTTTTTTTTTAGGAAAAAATCTAGTCGGCCGCTGTTACTTTTTAGGATGTTCCTAATATTATTTTATTTGACATTACTCTACTGCAATACGTTATTATCTAGATGATTATTATTATCGTTATTATCACTAGATTCTTAATCTAAAAATATTTTTAGTCCCGACATGTAATGCTTTATATTTTATTTTTTAATTTCAAATCGGTGAGTTTTATCAAAAAAACACAAGAGATAAAAAAGTTTCTAAACAAACTAAACTATCCAAATTAATTTTTTTGCATGTGTTTGATAAGATTTTTCTTTAAATTTCGTTAACAAGAATGATAGGGGTAGTTTATTTCAACCCCTTCCACTCATTTTAAAAAAGTGAAAAAATTACCAGAAAGTGTGTTTTCATAACAGTAATGCTTCCATAAAATTTCATTAATCTATCTCTTTTTGTTTTCAAGATAAAAAATAAAAACATTATTTTTCCGCCATCTTTGTACCGCGATATCTCCCTAATGGTTGACTTTTGATCCAACGTTTATAAAGCAAACTACCCTTTATTTTGAACAAGGAATCATCCTCTAAAGTTCTTCGCATTTGTTTTGAAACACCCTGTATATGTATGTAGATATTTTTTATATTATAAAAATCAAATACGCTCAAAATTCAACCTTCACCATATTGTCAAGATTGTATTTTGGCTTTAACAAATTTGGATTGATACGAAACACCATTTAATGAAAATCAACCCCATTTATACCTAGAGACCACATACCAAAATTGAAGAACATATCTAAAGTAGCTTCAGAGATAATTTTTTTTTTTATTTTTTTGAGATTTTTAACATCCTGAAAATCAGACTGGAAGCACTTTAGACCCTATTATTATATATATTTATATGAGCTTTTTTTCTTAAAAATACATGAGCAATCATACCTTGTATTTTTTTTTAAAGTATATGTAGAAAACATCCTGTTTATACATAGTGCTCGAAGCTTTCATCGAACAAATTTTGAATCGAAGAGGTAACAAATTCTTGTTTACTCTTGTGTTGTTTTGGGGGTTGGAAATTGTTAAAAATCTACAAG